TTTGTATTTTGTGCAGGGTGTCACTATGCAGCTGGAACTCATAGTGATCCTCCTGTTTTCAGCCTCCCCAGCGCTGGGATTATAGGTGCATGCCACCACGCCGGGACTCAGTTGCTGATCAGTGTGCCTGTGCATGGGGCCGGCACGGCAGGTGCTGCCAGGGATCAAACCCCGGCCCCTGCGCTTGCCTAAGCAGGCGTTTAGTCCGCTAAGCTATCAGATAATATACTTTTTGAGTTGCTTTTGCTAGTAGTTCCTTGGGATGGGAAGAATAATATTTATCAAATGTCTCAATTTTCACTGTCTGTTTTCTCCTTATTATATGCAGTCTGCTTTCATTTCTTCAGCTCCAGATTTGAAGTGACTTACAAGTCTGTAGCTCAAGGGCATTCTCCTCTGTAAGCAGAGCAGTGTGCACCTATGTGTGTTGCCATGGTACAGAAAGAGCTCGGGGCTTTCTGAGTCTTTTTTTTTTTAATTTTATTTGTGTGTGTGTGTGTGTGTGTGTGTGTGTGTCCAGCTCAGCCCACTAGGGGGCGGGGCTGGCTGGCATGTGGTGCTGGAGGATTGAACCGCGGTCCCTGTGCTTTGCTAAGCTTGTTCTAAGTAGGTGCTTTAGACCACTGAGCCATCTCACCAGCTCGAGTCTTTGTTTTTTATTCGTCCTGCAAATCTTACATTTCCATCAGTTGCTTCACTTCCCAGACTTCACCGTACACTCAAGTAATGACTCTTCTTTCTTTTTAGTCTTATTTGCTTCTCCAAAAGTGACACATCTTAAATACTTGCTTGTTTAAGTTCCTTTTCTATAGTTAATTCTCTGTTCTAATAAAGTTTTCCAAAAAACATTTTTGGGCACAAGGTAGACTTCTTTTTGGCTGTGATTTTAAATTGACCTCAAGTCTGCCGTGGACTCCTTGCTTTCCCCTTTTTTCTACGTTTCAAAAGACTGACCTCACTGCACAGCTCCTGGTGGATGCATGGGAAGCCTCATGGTTATGTGCGTATATTTCTTTACTGAAAAGTAATTTGACATTTGAATATTTTTTGTTTTCTAGTTGCATGACAAAGGTATAAATTTTGTTTATTTTAATTCTTTTTCTTTGTAGAATTCTTATTATTTTTTGAAGAGATGAGCAGCAATTTATAGTCAGATGGCTGCCATTAACCTTGGATTCTCCAAATAGAAAACTATAACTTTTAATCACAACATCGTAGTCATTTTTTAAAAGGAAAATAATTAGGGGAGAGAAACCTGATGAAGCACAAAAGTACTTTAGTGTTTGTTACTAGGTCAGATGATATTGTAGGTAATGAGTGAAATAAGGTTGTGAAGTGTCTTCCTTAGTGCAAGTACTAGTGGAGAAGAACTGAAAGTATAAATAAAGCAAAATAAAAGATAACAGGAAGTAGGGAGATAGAGCTTTTCCAGGTGGGGAGGGGATCAGAAGGTGGAGGGAGGGCCAGGAAGGGAGGCAAGCACTTGTGTCCCTGAGCCATCTCCTTGGCCCTGCAAGTATGTTAAAAAAAAAAGGAAGATGATCAAGAGGGAGGTGGAGGGAAAGGAAAGGGAATGAAAAAAAAAATCTGTATTATTGAGGAACAAAGTATTAATTCCTTAAGCATTAAGTATTAATTAGCATTATGTACATGTACCAACTCTCCACAAGGAATGTAAACATTATGAACTACAGCATGGGGCCTGGGATAGAGCTCAGTGGCATAAGCGCTTGCCTGGCAAGTGTGAGGTCCTGAGTTCAATCCTCAGTACACACACACACAGAGAGAGAGAGAGAGAGAGAGAGAGAGAGAGAGAGAGAGAGAGAGAGAATGAACTACAACATGTACTAATTAAAAAAAATAAAGTTGTATAACAAGGGAAATTTGGAATTAGAACCCAGGTAGAATAAAAATAGTTTGCAAAGTCAAAATTATAAAAGGAAGACAAAGTAAGATGGTGGAAGCTCATAAATTTTGAATTCATTACTTAAAATAATGCAACTGAAAATAAGAACTTCACTATATTCACATGCAGAAAAGGGCAGAAGATGGAACATATTGTGTTTGCCTTTAAAATCATATCATGAACATTATCCTGATTTGAAAGTATCTATCTAATGTATTCATGAAGATATCATTGGAAATATTACACGGTTCTATATAAATATATACAAATATACATTACTCAAATATTTAAAACATTTAAGGAGATAAAAATATTAACTAGCCAGATTTGATCATTAAATTCTTATATAAGTATCAAAATATCACACCATACCCCATAAAGTTGTACAATTCAAATAATTTTAAAAATTAAATAAAAAAAATTAAATCAGACCAGGATATTTCCAATGATATCTTCACAAAATGAACAGATTTAGACACAATGCTAATTTTAAGTTACATAGGAGTGTGTGTATAAAGGATATCTGCGAATTACAAAATAGGCAAATTTTAAGTATGAAAATTATGATATTAGCAAGGAGAAAAGGTGACAACAGGTACACTGGGGGCCACACTCCTGTTTCCCATCAGCCAAGGGGGTTACCCAAGATCCAGGGGAAAGTCAAAGCAGGAGTAGCACTCTCCTTTCGCTTCTCACATCCATCTCTTCTGAGGGCTGCAGTGTGAAGATTTCAGCTTCAATTGGAGCACTCAAGCTAGAAGTCTGGGTATGTGCAAAACTAATTTCAAAGTCTTCAAGTACGCTTTGAGTAGTGCTTACATTTGAAGGATTGCAGGTAGACATCATCACATTTTTTTCTAATGAGCCTCAAGTAATTAAACTACATTTTAATAAATAATAAAATATGTAATAAATATGACTTTAGTTAAAAAGACTGTGCTAGCTGCTAATTTAACCAAGTTTTTCTTGTGCCTCAGCATTTCTGGTGGGCATTACTACTGCTTTAGAATCAAGCAAATGGGTTGCTTTGCCAGATAATTTGTAGTGCTTTTAAAAAGTTATCTCTTGCTTAGCAGGCCACTTTAAGGTCCCAATACTATTTCCAAATTTTACCATTTAGATATTAGGTGCATTCCGATTTTCATAAATAGAACATTTTAAGACAAGAAAAAAACATTGCTCGATTTCTCTTTCTTTCTTTCTCTTTCTTTCTTTCTTTCTTTCTTTCTTTCTTTCTTTCTTTCTTTCTTTCTTTCTTTCTTTCTTTCTTCCTTCCTTCCTTCCTTCCTTCCTTCCTTCCTTCCTTCCTTCCTTCCTTTCTTTCTTTCTTTCTTTCCTTCTTTCTTTTTTCTTTCTTTCTAAATGTATTTGGTTGTCACAGGGTCTCACTATGCAGCTCGGACTTGTGGTGATCGTCCTGCTTTCAGCCTTCACAGAGCTAGGATTACAGGCATGCACCACTATGCTTGGACTCTGGCCAACACAGCCTACCCTGGGGGCAGGGCTGGTGCAGCATGTAGTGCCAGGGATCAAACCATGGTCTTGGCTTCTGCCTAAGCTCGCCTAAGCAGGTGCTTTAGTCTGTTGAACTATCTTGCTGGCCCCCATCAATTTCTTAAAAATTGAGAATGTTATCAAATAGTGTTAAGGGAAATGTACCTTTATTTGAAAGACAATTGTGTGAAAATTCTTGTCATCATCAAACACAGCTGATAAGCTCGGCCCAGATCCGCAGGTTTTCTCCTCACGTTTGTTGTTAATATAAGGGCTGGTGAAAGCATCAAAATACCAGTCAGGCACCAGTTTAGGAACTGATAACACGGTGTTTTGCAAGTGGTTAATTGCACCTGAAATACCATCCTGTTAGAAAGAAAAGAATAAACATAAATGTAAATATGTGGATGATTATATGTATGAATGTTTTCTGAATGTTCTGAAATGCTAAAAAGAATAACTTATTCAACCAGGCCAGGTGTCGTGTTGCCTCAGAGTGTGTGACAAATCAGAAGACAGAGTCCTGCTTTCGAGACACATATTTTCTAATCAAGAAAGAGGCAGATTGAAAAAATTGCAGTACATTGTGAAACGATCCATATGTGAATCGTGAACTAAGCACTAGTAAAATCTTGTACTGACGCGAACACACAAACATGCTGATTTTACAGTCCCCACATGTGGAGCAGAGTCCTACCACAGGAAATGAGAAGGATGTGGGCTTCTTTGAGTCCTGTCATTTGGATGCAAAACACATCCAACTGCCTGTGGGAGAGCCTTCCTTGTGTCACGGAGTACCAAAGAAGAATGACTGTAAACTATGGTGAATTTATTTTATTTTTTTAAAATAAACATATTAGGTAAAAGACATATTACCATTAATCCCTGCAAAATACTCCCCTTCGATTTAAATACACTTATTCATGGTCTTTGCCACTTTCTGAAGCAGTTCAGAAGTCTTTCTTCATGAGCCTTTCATCTTGCTGCGTGGCTGCTTTGACACCCTGCATCCATTCACAGTGTTTGCCTGTCCTGGTCACCGTGGCTTTAGGAAAGAGCCAGAAGTTGCACTGGGCCAGATTTGGTGAATATGGATGAGGACACATGGAGCTTGCTTTTCTGTCAGCTGGCACTCGGTAGTAGCATTTGCTGTGTCCTTGGACCACACATTTTTTTTTTTTTTTTTTTTGTGGAACCGGCTATTGAACTCAGGCCCTTGTGCTTGCCAGGGAAGCACTTATTCCACTGAGCCATCTCCCTGGCCCGTATCATATGCTTTAAGACACACCCAAAAAGAGTCTTCTAGAATGGCCTCAGAAAGTGGTGAGAATGATGGGATAAATGTGTTAGAAGTGAGGGGGAGTACTCTGAGTAGGACTGATGACAGTGTGCTTTTTAACTGTAATAAATGTTTTTAACATTCACTATACCTTTTGATCATGCCTTGTGCCTCTCATGTGAAGCACATGGGTTTTGTGGTGAGGAGAAGCCACCAAAGCCCAGCAGCTCTCCGCTTGGGAGTTATTGGATGAGGCGACCATCACTGGAAGCTTGGCAGCCTGGCTGTCACTGGAAATGTCTTAAAATAATCAGTCTCATGCATTACAGAATCATAGACTGAGGGAACAGGAGATGACTCTGGAACTCATGTGCATTCTTATCTTACAAATGCAAAAACCAAGCCCCAGAGAGGTAAGTGGTTTTACCTCCTTGACCAAATAGCTTATTAATTATAAAGTCAAGACTGAAATCTAGGGATCCTGATTTTGGTCTTGTGCCAAAGTGTACTAGCTAAAAACAGAAAATATAGGCTCTGGTTTATTAATCTATATATATGTAAGCCCATGTGGTAGACAGAATAATGAGGAGCCCCCAGGGCCCCTGGCCCCTCTGTACGCATCATCACAATCCCCTGCTGTGAAAATGACAGGACATCATGCCTCTGAGGAGGCTATGTATGGCAAAGGAGGAAAGTTTTGCATGTAGAAATAAGGTTCCAAATCAGTTGACTCTGAGTTAATTCAAATGCTGATCCTCCTGAGTAGATCTGACTGAATTAGGGGAAAACTGTTCAAAAAGGGATTGGGCCCACCTTAAAGGAAATGTTCCAGCAGCCTTTGAAGGCATAAGAGCCATGTTTTTTTGTGTATTTATTACAGGGCCTACAGGGTCTCACTACACAGATAGGACTCGTAGTGATCCTCCTGTTTTCAGCCTCCCAAGGGTTGGGATTATAGGCATGTGTCACTACGCCCAGTCTCAATTGCACAGTCGGCACAGCATGTGGTGCCAGGGATCGAACCCTGGTCCCTGCCCTCTGCCTAAGTAGGTGCTTTAGTCCACTGAGCTATCTGGCCAGCCCATTAGCCATATTTTAAACTGCCTATAAAGCAGGTCATGTGGCAAGGGCCCATGGAGTACTTCTAGGATCTATTGGTTATCGCTGGCTGACATCCTCAAGAAAAGAGACATCAGTTCTTAGGTGCATGGACCTGTATTCTTTTAACAAGCTGAGGCAACTCAGAAGAGGATCCTTTCTGGTCAAGCCTGCCAAAGGCAGGATCAGCGGACACCCGGGGCGGGGGTGGTGGTGTGCAAAGCAGAAGTGACACTAAGCAGCAAGCATCAGACTCCTGACCTACAGAAAGGGAGATGCGTGACTGTTTTAAGCTGCTAAAAGATTTAAGAGCAATATAGGCTGGTGAGATGGCTCAGTGGTCTAAAGCATTTACTTAGAACAAGCTTAGCAAAGCACAGGGACCGCGGTTCAATCCCCCAGCACCACATGCCAGCCAGCCCGCCCCCTGGTGGGCTGAGCTGGCCACACACACACACAAAAATAAATTTAAAAAAAAATTAAAAAAGATTTAAGAGCAATAAGTATCTAAAACAACAAAATTCTCTCAGTTGCATCATGCTTTTAAAAAGCTGTCACAAATGATGTCTACAACAGAGTGACTTATTGGACTCTCATTAGTGGGATGCCCACAGCCAATTCTGCAGTCTGGGTAGAGTATGTCCTTATCAAAGCTCTGGTGTGCTCAAACTAAAGTTAATGTACTAATCTTTCAGATCATTTATAGGCAGAGGTAAGGATACAAGAGAACAGTGTTCTCTCTCTTTCTCATTTTGTTGGGCTTTTTTTTTTTTTTTTTGGTGGAACCGGGGATTGAACTCAGGTCCTTGCGCTTGCCAGGGAAGCGCTTATTCCACTGAACCATCTCCCCGGCCCAAAGATTTTTTTTATTTGTCTTTTTTTTTTTTTTCCAGAACCAGGGATTGAACTCAGGCCCCCGTGCTTGACAGGCAAGCACTTATTCTGCTGAGCCATCTCCCCAGCCCTCTCTCTCTTTCTCATGATCCTTTTGGAGAAGTGACAACTGTAATCCCACCGGCCATCTGCTAGCAAAGCGGTTGCAGGGTATAGCATGAAGAAGCACACACCAGAAAGTCTTCCAGAGACGGCTCAAAGAGGAGGGACTGGACAGTCAGAATCAGTTCTGTGACAAACATGGGGATGAGAGACTCATCTTCTTCCTGCTTTTCCACCACAGGAGCCCCCTGAAACAGCACAATTGCAGTTACCAAGACCCATGTACTGAGCTATAAAACAAAGACATATACAGTTAAGTTTATGCCGTTGGTTGATAATCTTGGCATGTGGAAATCTATCAGGATGATTCTACAGCAAGAGAAAATGCACATACTGAAAGGTGACATAGCAATGTAAGTTGTCTTTCCTTATAAAAGTACTATCAATGAAAGAAAGGCAAACAATAAGCTGAGGCAATATGCTAAGAATGCCTGGAGCAGATCTATTTAGCTAGAAATGGAGTTGATATACTTAATAGAAATGATACCAATAATGTAATAACTAATGGCTCAACAGAAATATATTTAAATAAAATGTCTCTATTTCTCCAGGAGAGATAACTCATAATAAGCACTCCTCAATAAATGCTAACTGGTGAATTTTCTTTTTTTCTGTATTTTAGGGAAGGGTCTATAAGGTGTTCAGGGTCTTACTACTAGATTGGACTCATAGTGATCCTCCTGTTTTCAGCTTCCTAAGAGCTAGGATTATAGGCATGCGCCAACATGCCCAGTCTCAACTGCCATCTTAGTGCACCGCGGGGGTGAGGCTGGCACAGCAGGCCTGGGGATTGAAGCCCTGGACCCTGCACCTGCTTGCAGGCACTTTAATCCACTGAGCTATATGGCCAGCCCCCAAATGGTGAATTTTAATTTCATCTGAGCATACCTTTTTGTCAGTGGCTTCAGGCTTCTCTTCGGTAATCCATTTCTGAATGACATCCGCTGAAGGGGTCCGTTTTATTTTGTCAGTGAGGTAATTCAAAAGAGAGTTAGCAGAATTCACGGTTAAGACATGCAGGGTGTTCTCAATGAGATAGTCATTTAGACGGATAAAGCTGGAAAAGGAAAAGCACATACTATCTTATCTTTCCATGAAAATTTCTGCCAGTGACTCTAAAGTGAAGAAATTTCAGGATATCATTTCTGTTTGCTTTTTGATCTAATTGCATTATAGTCTCACAGATTTGCTGTTCAGAAGACGTGTTCTTAGATATTCTTCCTTTTAAAGCACAACTATATTCAAATGTGCTACATTAATTTTCTCAGGTGCTTCAAGTCTTTGATAGGCTATGTATGCGCACTACAATTGTTAAGGAAATCCACCTAGCTCATCTTGTCAACAGCTGTAAGATTTTTTTCCAAAGGTGTTCTACAGAACCTTCCACGCATACATCTGTAATTTGCATTCTAATGGTACAAGTATAAAATTTTGCTGTGGATAAATAATAATGAATTCTGCTGTTTTGACAGAAATTATTAGCCCAAAGATTTGAATTTTTGGTGCTTCCTTGAGTGATTAGAAGGCAGGTAGAGACAACAAAACATTTAGAAGATTTTTTTTCTTCTGTTCACACGGTGCTTGGGGTCTCTAGCACACCTTAGTGGTCTTAGAGACTATTTCACTGCCATCTGTTGCTACACTGACAATTTCTATAAGCTAAGCTGCCATTTCATATAAAATAGTGTACATTTAAAGTTTACTGAATAGATAGTTTTAATTGCTGTATTAAGTAAATTAGCACTGAATAACAATACATGATGTTTTATGGTTTCACAGTTTTCCATATCATATTTGGTGATTTTGTTTGCAAGAGTTATTTGTAATCATGAGGTTTTATTTTTATTTTATTTTATTTATTTATTTTTGTAATTTAGGGAAGGGTCTACAGGGTGTTCAGGATCTCACTACTAGATGGGACTCATGGTGATCCGCCTGTTTACAGCCTCCCAAGAGCTGGGATTATAGGCGTGCGCCACCACACCCAGTCTCAATTGCTGTCTCGGCGTGCCCCGGGGCGGGGCTGGCACGGCAGACCTGGGGATTGACCCCAGGTCCCTGCACCTGCTTGCAGGTGCTTTCATCCACTGAGCTATTCGGGCAGCCCTTCATGGGGTTTTAGAATTATGGAAAATTCAGACTCTGAAAGCAAGGGACAGAGCTACTTCTAATCATTTAAGAGTCCCCTAGTGAGGCCCGAGAAGGAAATTTCCTCACTGGCTTCCGGTTGTCTGAGGGAGGGGGTGGTGTAGTCCTTTTGTGGTCAGAAGGATGCAGCACATTCTCTCTCTGGCAACTTGAGGAGGTCCTCACATCTCTGTTCCTGGCTTCTCCTCAGCACAGCCTGCCCTACAGTCCGGGTACTCCAGGCTGAGTCAGAAGGAAACATGGCCTTAGTGACCAAAGAGGGGCTCTGGACCTTGAACCTGCACTTCAGTGTCTTCTAGCCTTCCTGTTATTGCAGGTTCTTGTGGGTTGGGGTTGATGGGGTGGGATTCAGGTCACCACATCCTAAAATCCTTATCATTATTAGCGAACCTTTTGACAAAGGACTTGATTTTTTTAAAAGTGAGACGTTATTTCTAGAAATAATTCTATTATTGGTTTTATTTATTTATTAAATAAATGTCATAAGCTAGCTCATGACATTTGGACATGCAGAGTGATAATTTACTCTGGTGACGCAAATTTATGTATCCTTCAACTTCCAGCTTTTAGTTTTTAATGAGTGTGAAAAAGGTGGATGCTCTAATTTTTCTTGAAAGAAAGAGAAACCACTTACCACGTGAGCCTCATGCAGTGGTGCCTCTTGCTGGCCTGTTCTGTGTATGTCATTTTCTCAGAGTCGCCGTAGGTGGGTGTCTCAAATGGCATTTCAACGTTCACTGTTTTATCAAAATCTAAGAACAACAGAATCACAGTCAGAATCCTTGGGTAAAAATTTCATTTCTTTCAATATAAATTCAAAGGAAAAAAATCAAACTTAAAAATAACAAAATCCTTTGGGTTGTGAAGCATTTGAAGCCCTGGAAGACAGCCCAGTTATCTAAAAAATATTTCCACAGTGATGAAATTCTGCTCATGAAAAGACTATAGACCATCCACCGATATTCTTGTTAATGGGAGTTGATCCACGGGTCATGCTATCTTTTTCCTAGAAACACTTCTACCTTCTTTCCACTGGCATGTGTGTCATCTTTCAGAGTCCAGGCCACCCTGGCTAAACCCGAGAGTCATCCAGTCCCTTAATTGTGATAAACTGATCGTCTGTACTTGCAGGATTGTCTTACTTTCAAGCAGGCCCTGAGTCCACTACAGAATATCTCTGAATCAAGATTCTGTGCACAGTTTCAAAACACTCTACACAAGTAGGAAGAATGCAAAAAATGCAGTGTTTACTGGGTTTTCCTATTCCACAGGATGCACTGAACTTATAACACGTCCAGCAGAAGTGTGGAACAGTTGACAAAGAGGATAACTACTTAAGCCCAAGTAGAGTAAAGACTAGCAGATCTTTTAGGAAGCTGCTATTCTGATACAGCCATGGTCTCTGCCCTCCATACCCTCCTCAGGTTCAAATGCACAGTCATCAGGAATAAATCCTACAGCACGCAGAGCAAGTCGACAAGCCTTTCTGACCACCTCTTTTGCCATATTTCGAAATTCTTCTAGGAGTTCTGTCACCTAGACATAGATGAATGTATAGGGTTAGCAAAACCAAAGTGTTGAAAACAGGAAAATAAGCTTCATCATTACAAAGTTCCTTACCTCCTCTAGACGTATGACTTGTGCAGCCTTAAATTCCTGCAGTGTGTAGGTGTGACATTTTTCGATATAACAAAGTCCCATGAAGCTGATTTGATAACACAATTCACTTATTTTAAGAAGAGCTGGTCGCAAATACTAAAGGGAAATAAGACTATCATTATTTAGTTAAAAATCCTGTATTTTAAAGATATAAAATATGTGGAAAGCAAAAGTGGTTAAGGTTGACACACAGTGCTGTGTATTAAAGAGCCGAGCTGGCAACGTACAGAGTAAGTAGGAACTCTTCTGAAACTCTTTTCTAAAGCATTCTTTGAATTACTGGATTTAATTCATCTAAATTCCTTTCTCCTCACTTTGAAAAGACATCTATATCTTTTAGTTACTTAATGGATGAAATTGGAGGCATGAAACAGAAAACGGGCACTGTCTTAGTTTTGGCTAGTGGCTACTACAAGATTCTTTGTGTTACCTTACGGCCATTACCATCGCCAGCAATAATGATAATAGATGGACTACCTATTAACCTAAGAGGATACAGCATAGAACAAAGCTAAATTTGACTTTAAGTTTTCAGTAGGTTAGAAGGATTTTTTTGTTTGTTTGTTTGTTTGTTTTTGTATCAGGAATCAAACTCAGGACCTAGTCTTGCCAGGTAGGTGCTGTGCCACTGAGCTATATCCCCAGCCTCAATAAGTTGTTTTGAAAAACTGTTGCATATTTTCTCAAAAGCCTTAAGCATAGAATTACTTATGCCTAGCAATTCAATTCATAGGGGTATGTCCAAGAGAAATGAAAACATGTTCAGTCAAAAGCTTGTGCATGAATTCTCCTAAAAACATCATTCGTAACTGTCAAACATGTAAGCAACCCAAATATCCACAAATGGATAGATGAATAAAAAATATAACTATATAAAATAAGGTAGTTTGCCAGTGAGAAGGTGTGCTATTTTTACAACATAAATCATGAAAGCATTATGTTAACTAAAAGAAAGTCAGTCATAAAGAGTCCAAATATTAGGTAGCTTCATTTATAAGAAATGTACAGAATTGGGAAATCAATTTAGAGACAGGATACAGGTTACTGGTTGCCTATAGTTGGGGGAAGATGAAAGAGATTTGGGACAAATATAGAATAAACATTAATAAATGTTGGAGTTTCTTTTTGGAATGATGAATATGTTCTAAAAATGACCACAGTATTTATTGATCAAATCTGTGAATACACCAAAAATTACTGAATTGAATACTTTATATAGGTACATTATGCAGCATACAAATTATATATCTATAAAGTTGTCTTAAGAAAATGTAGGGATCAGTTGATTATTTATTTATTTATTTTTGGTACCAGGATTCAGACTCAGGACTTTGCACTGTTTGACAATCAGGCAATGTGCTACTGAGCTATATCCCTGGCCCCAGGTTGATTATTTTAGAAATAAAAATTTCAAACAATTCTATTGTTCCCTCATGTTCATCAACAGGAATTAGCTAGTATTTTTGCATATTTAGGAACAATTCATGATAAGGCATGGTAAAGTATGAAATATGGTAAAATAGTTTCAAATAACTGATGGATCCCTAATAAAATTAGAGGTCTAAGGCTTGAGTTTGATGTCAAGAAAGATGGGGTTAGTTTTTTCCAAATCAGAAGGTTCAGTGGTATGGATGATTTGAGGTGGTACATCTTCCATATTTGTTTGGCACTAATATTGATGTTTACCATAGTCCATGGATATTCTTTTATTTAATAACCGACATGTTGATAAAAGTTTTTCATATTACCATAGCAACATGAAGGAAATGACTAGTACATAATAAATCTGAGGCCTCTGACATGGAAGGCTATGACTCAATGTCATAGAAATAGACAGCGAAGACAGTTCTCTGAGCATGACAGTAATGATAATGTCAGTTCTTCCCAAGGAATTAAGTACAGATCTTTTAATGTTAGTTGAAGTTCAATGAGTAGAGCCTAAACATGGCTGTGCATGCTTTTAACTGTTCATTTTCTATGATCACCTCATCATCCAATGTAAATATAAAAATCTCCCCTTCCGTGTGAATCCATGGCAGAGGCACACATAGATCCCTCTACTGGTCAGTGGAAACATGCCCACATGCATTTGAACCACAGTGTCCTGAGTGTCCCAAGGACGAGAGAAGAGGTAACAGGATTTCCACCCAGTCTGTTGTTGTTGATTGCTTTTGTGTTTAAAGGTAATCAGCAGCAAAGAAGACCACAAAGCTCAAGGCCTTAGGTTGTTCTAATTAAAAGAGCCCCGTGCAAGGCCTTCTACACCTTTGGAACCCTCATTGAACCTGCAGAGACACCACTGGATTGCCAGGCTCCTACATGACAAGACAGGCAGTAACTCGAGATCCTTTAACAAATTCTATTTCAGGGATAGTCTACACAAACATCTGTCATAGAACCACAATTTCTTTTACTGTAATTCTTTTAAAATATGAAAAATAAATACATACAGGATTAACAATGAACAGATTTTTTTGTAGAGAATCTCGACATGCCGTGATTTTCTTGGAGCGTACATTCTTCTTCCACACGTTGAAAGCCTTCCATTTCCGGAAAAGTGCGAATATGGGGATCTTAGTAAGTTCTCTGTGATACAGATATTCTTTTTCCCATCGATCAATTTCTATATATTCGATGTCATTATTGTAAACATGTGTCACTGCCTTTTGACTAATAGTATAGTAATCATTTTTGTTGATGTTTTCATAACTTACAACTCTATAAACAAATAACAAGTGAGACAAATAAATTATTGGATGTAGGTTAAGCAATTGAAGTACTTTTTGGTGGAAAAGACAGATATTTCTTAATGACAAATACTATTTAAATTAAAAAAATTTTAAACCAACTACACCATCTTCAGATTGAGTAAATTACTCAAGGAAAGAAGAAAGGGCTGGTTTTTAGGAAGAATAGAGCCTATTTTAAGGATTTCATAACCTTTGTAATATGCTTGGTCATTAATTACAGTGACAAGATTTTTATAATAAAGTCAATCTACTGTAGATATTTAAAATGACAGCTGTGTGTGAAGGCTATCCTCATCTAATTTTTATTATTAACTCTTTAGAAATTACTCAAATTTAATAGCACAAGAGTTTTAAGCTACTTAGTCTTGACAGACTTATCAAAAACATGAAAGAAAACATGAATTACATAAAATTAGAAACAAGGCCCCCAAATTAAGCTAAAATACATCACACATAAAATAATTATTAATGAGCTCTTTTCCTCCCTGGCTGTCTGAGGATCTGTTGCCATCATGAACGACACAGTAACTATCCGAACCTGAAAGTTCATGCCTAACCGACTTCTTCAAAGGAAACAAATGGTCACTGATGTCCTTCATCCTGGCAAAGTAATAGTTCTTAAGACAGAAATTCAGGAAAAACTCGCCAAAATGTACAAGACCGCACCAGATGTCATTTTTGTGTTTGGATTCTGAACCCATTTTGGCGGTGGCAAGACGACTAGCTTTGGCAAGATTTATGATTCCCTGGATTATGCAAAGAAAAATGAGCCCAAACATAGACTTGCAAGACATAAGTATGAGAAGAAAAAGACCTCCAGAAATCAGGGGAAGGAACGCAAGAACAGAATGAAGAAAGTCAGGGGCGCCGCAATGGCTAGAGTTGGTGCTGGCAGAAAGTGAGCTGGAGACTGGAGAACAACCGAAGGAGGAGAGATTCTGCAGTGACTGCGACTTTTTTTCACGAGAGAATTTAATAAACTGTAAAACCTTAAAAAATTATTAATGAGAAACTGTTTAGTTCAAGATTACCTCTTCGTGAACTGTCATCGGGGCATTCCTCAAATGTATGCACAGCAGAAAATAGATTGAGTAAAGAAGAAAAGCAAGAGAGGCATAAAAACTGGACAAGGGGCCTGAGAATAAAGTACTGAGAATAGAAAGACCAATTTTGTATAAATATATTATTTTGTATAGATATATTTTGTATAAATATATTTTCGGTATTTTAGCTGTAACACTGAAATAGTCTATGCAACTTAAAAATAATAGAACAAGTGTTAAGTATGATATAACACCTGATTAAAATATACTTAGGGATTTAGGAAAATGACACTGGTGATTCTATGAGAGTTTTGATTCTAAGCTGCAGAATGATGAGGTAAAGATTAAGTGTAAAAGTCAAACCTCAGATCGTTTCTATGTTCATACTATGTGATGATATGGGCAGAGGACAAAGATTAGATACACTGCTCCTGTGAAAGTCACCTGTATCTATAGTCTCCTTAAATTTTTTAAAAAGTGTATTTGGTCCAGGGTCTCACTATACAGCTTGGACTCGTAGTGATCCTCCTGTTTTCAGCCTCCCCAGTGCTGGGATTACAGGTGTGTGCCACCATGTGTGGACTCAGTTGCCTGCTCAGCACGCCCCGGGGGCGACGCCAGCACCTCATGTGGAACTGGGGATGGGAATCTCCTTCAGTTCTCACTCTGTGTTTGGAGCCTGAATTCATGACTCTTCAGAATAGCCTCAGGCCACCGAGAACTACCCCAAAATTGGTGTCTATGAAGCCATGTACATGTGAAATCAATTTTGAAGGGATTAAAAAAATTCTTACAGGTCTGCTAATCAAAAAATTAAGGACCACTGGTTTTTACCTTCTGTTTTTGCTTTAAGAAAATTGAGTAAGAGAAAAAAAATTATATATATTTATATTTGAGTGGAAGAGGGACTCACAGTGAGTTCCCCTCCTCTTGTGTTGCTGATTTGCTCTGCTTTGCTGTGCCCTGACCTCACTGCCTGGTCTTCTGTTTATGTTCTACTTAGCTCACCTCCTAAATGTCTGAGGGGAAGTGTCAGGCATTGCACGGTGCTGTCAGGTATATGAAAAATATTGTAACATTTTCCTGTTTCTGTTGTCAGTAGCTGAAGATACAATTAGGATTTTCTTGGAGGGATTCTCTCTAAAATGTGAGACTGGGCACTGAGATAGTAATTTTTAGGTGTTTCCTTAATGTCAGACATCAGACCAACCTCAAAACAAGACCAAACTTGCTACCCACATCCCTTCTAGATGGTGACAGAGATGGTTCATGATGTTGAAATTCAACTTGTTGGCACTCAATGTCACTTATAAATTCCTTAAGTATTTTTTTCCTATTTGAGGCATTTGTTTTCATGTCATTACACTTTTTCTCTACATGCCTCTATTCTTCACAGAGCAAATGAATTCATAGGAGTCATTTTCAAAAGCTGTATCATCAGGCTCAAAATCACCTGTGATGTTTGTTAAGCATCTAGATTTCTGGGTCAATCATACAATCATAATCTTCATGTGTTCTGAGACTCCTGGTTACCAAGCTGCTGGGCTGATCCTGATAGACAAGGATATTTGTGAATCACCGAAGTTGACTTGAAAATGAACAAACAACATGATAACAAGGGAAGATGAAGGTGAGCTCTTTCAGTCCTTCACTTGAGAATCAACATTCTCATTAGATTCCATCATGTAAGTCTAGAGGAAACAGCAGTCTTGTTTGTTGTAAGGTACTGACTCAGGTTAGTGGTTGCATGGCTAGACAGGCAAGTAATAACTCACTCTCACATGAATATAACCTGGACTAGCGAGCAAACAGGTGAAAGACAGAAGTAGGGGAAGCTGGAATAAGAAGCGAAGCTGGTTCTGCTCATTGAGTTGCTGGCTGTGTGGGTCTGGAGACTACATTAGGAAAGTGGAGGGCAGCTTGGACTCACCCTAGTCACCACCAGCCACAGTGCAGGCATGTCCCAGAGGGACTCCTGCTGGAATTCAAGGATGACCTGGAGACAGATATTTGTGCTATGGAGGGTACTCTTAGTTGTGGGCTCTGTGAGGATCTCAAGCATGAGAAAACTATGCAGGACTTAGGCAAGACTAAAGCTGTGATGTTGATCTAGACAGCCCAGCCCCAGGCTTGCGCCTCCATAGCACAGGGCACTGAGGTCACTGTGACCCAAAGGGAGAAATGGAGACTGAGGCAAAAGCATAAATGGCAGAATGTTGGGCACATCAAGTGACAGCTTGAGTGGTTCTGGCTCAGCAATTGTCCTCCTCCCCTTGGCATCAGGCATGGTGGAGACATTCATGAGCACTAGAAGTTGTTGAGATTGCAGCTTAGAGTGGGGAAAGGATGTAGAACCAGAGAGGCTCGGCTCTGCCATAGCTGGTAGCTGAACATGGCAGGGAGAGGAGTAAGGAAAGAGTAGAGTCCGTCCTAGAGACTGAGGCAGGGACACAGCCTGGGATCCCAGACAGAGGAGAGGAGGAGGAGGGCATTAGGGGAAGGGAGAGGGAGGGAGGGAAGGAGGGAGAGAGAAACAGAGAGAGAGAGAGAGAGAGAGAGAGAGAGAGAGAGAGAGAGAGGAGAAAGAGGGAGAGAGAGGGAGAGAGACAGAGAGAGACAGAGAAAGAGAAGGAGAGAGAGGGCGAGAGACAGAGAAATAGAGACAAAGAGAGAGAGAGGGAGAGAGATAGAAAGAGAGAGACAGATAGACACAGAGAGAGACACACAGAGAGAAAGAGACAGACAGACAGAGAGAGAGAGACAGAGAGAGAGGGAGAGAGGGTGAGAGACAGAGAGAGAGAGGGAGAGAGACAGAGAGAGAGAAAGATAGGGAGAAAGAGGGAGACACACACAGAGAGACAGAGAGAGAGGCAGAGAGAGACAGAGAGAGAAGCAGAGA